CCCCCCCCCCCCGCCCCCAGCACAGACAGCCCTTATGTGGGTCCCCAGCCTCCTGGATGCCAGCCACCCAGGCCCAGAAGCATCCTGCTCCAGCCCCTTCCGGACCAGCGTCTGTCCTCTTCCCTCCCGCAGGAGCTGCCCCCCTGCAGGGGTCAGGGACATTTTCCTTTTCAAACTTTGAAGTCTTACTGTTGTCCTTCTCTGACATTAGGGCTATCCCCTGCCCACCCTCCTGTGGATGCATCATCTAAATGATGCAAAATGTAAAGGCAAGCCGCTGTCTTGGCCTATACTCTTAGGGATGGCGGCCCGGATTCTCCCCAGAGAAGGAACACTGCTGCTTGAGGAGAAAGGTCTCCCTCTGGGTCCTCAGAGGGAGCGCCCCCTCCTAAGTATGGTCCGGGTCTCTCGATGGCACCTCTGGGTAAGGAAGGGCAGAGACGGGAAAGACACAAGTTCAGTCTCCATTGGGCCACCCCCTATATAAACATGGACTAAGGTTTGAGTTAGGTGATATATTCAGTTATTCATTCGACAAACACTTAACTGAGCTCAAGCTATGCGCCAAGCATTGCTGTAGCTTCCGTGCTCGTATGATGTCACTGTGACATAATCCTCTGGATTTAACCTTCTAGAACCCTAAGCAATTCTTTCTCAGTGGCCATTATAAATATCAACAGCAATGTCAGCGGCCACTGGTCCCTGAGTGTCAGTCCCTGGACTGCTTACATGTCAGTAACCCCAAGAGGCAAAAATTCCTGCCCCATTTTGCAGCTTAGGGAACGAAAGTGGCCACTGAGTGGCTCAGATGCAGGTGTCCCCGAGCACGGGTCCAGCAGCTGGCTGAACGCACACTGAGGTCTCCATGAACTGCCCACCACAATTTGGGTCTCCCGTGGGGGCTGTTTGGAGGTTGAAAGGGAAGGTGCGACACTAAGGTATCCAGACCCACAGCCCCAGCCTGTGGCTGCAAGAGCAGCCCTGGGAAATCACAACCAGCCACCCCTCTCGGTAGTTCCCCCGCCCCCACTGTCTCTGAGTCTGAAACACTGGCTCTGTGACTTGCGTGTCTCCCCTTCTTGCCCCAGCCCCATCAGGTCCCACCGCTGGACGCCATTGTGACCAATTTGAGAGGCAGGTGCACAAACATTAGCTCCCTCCTCCTGTCCCCGGTGTGGTGTGTGCCACTTCCCAACTGGGAAATGATTCACTGAAATTAGCCCGTCATCGCTCGTCTAGCAAGGCCTTGGGTGATGGAATTTCTCCAAGGTAGACCTGAGAGGGAGAGACCAACATTGCAGGCAAGCACGCGAGCTGGCCGGTAACAGCTCTTGCCTGTGGGAGCCTTTCAGACCCTGTGTGAAAGCAGGGCTTTCCATACCTGGGCTCACTGAATTCTCCCAGCTTCCCATAGGAAGCGGATATGATTGGGGTCCCCTTTTTACAAAGAGGGACACCCAGGCTCAGAGAGGTGAAGTCCGCCGCTCGAGGTCCCACAGCTAAGCTTTGAAACGAGTGGGGCTTGAGCACAGAGCTCTGAGTGCTTCACCACCATCCCCCCCAGGCGATCCCCGAATGAGTGACTGCCCGTCCTCTATGCTGGGCCTACCTGGGTGGTCTGCATCCCCGGCCCTCGCACCGTGGGAGGTGATGAGCTCGGAAAGCATCACTGACCGTCTGCCTGCCTCCACTCGGAGCGTGACGCTTGCAGACGAGTGCTTGGTGCAGGCGCGTTGCCCTGCCCGCCCCTACCTGTGCCCTGAATTATCGTGAGCAAAGGGGGGACCACGCAGAGAGTGCCTCAGCTCATGGGCCCTGCGCGGACAAGGTTCCTACAAGGATTCGGTGAGATGATGTATTCGGCTATTCGTTCAACCAGCAAACAAACACATATCAGGCTCCTGCTCTATACGAAGCGCTGCTCTAGCTTACCTGCTCCCAAGGTGTCACGCGGAGGGGAAGGGCACTTGCATTCCTCTCCACCAGGTGGCTGGCTCCGTGCTAGGGCGTTCCGCCTTCATTGGATTCTTGTGACCAGTCTACATGGTATGTTTCGCAGAGAGATTTAGGCTCCCGGGCTCAGGTGGCCCACATACCACCTAAACAGCATCTCGGGCATCAGGGAAGCTACGCACGCCTCCCGCGGGTGGTGCCCTCAGTTAATGGTCCCCGTGCTTTTCTCCTTCCCCCTCCCTGCCGCTCCCAAAGCAAACCTCAGTCCTCGACTCAAGTGCCCTCAAGACCCGGGTGCAGCTCAGCAAGAGAAGCCGCCGCCGGGCTCCCATCTCCCACGCCCTCCGGCGCAGCCGAGTCAGCGAGTCGGAGAGCAGGTCTCCTTTGGAGGACGAGGCTGACAGTGCGTGGATGTTCAAGGACTCAACGGGTATGCCATGCACCCCTTTCTGCCCAGATACCACGCTGAACAGCAGGATGGATTTGGGTTAGACACTGAGCAGAACTTCCTGCCCTTATCGGTTGTAGGATATTAGAACACAGTTACAGGGGCGCCTGGGTGGCGCAGTCGGTTAAGCGTCCGACTTCAGCCAGGTCACGATCTCGCGGTCCATGAGTTCAAGCCCCGCGTCGGGCTCTGGGCTGACGGCTCAGAGCCTGGAGCCTGTTTCCGATTCTGTGTCTCCCTCTCTCTCTCTGCCCCTCCCCTGTTCATGCTCTGTCTCTCTCTGTCCCAAAAATAAATAAACGTTGAAAAAATAAATAAATAAATAAATAAACCCAAATAGAATGAAAAAAAAAAAAAAAAAGAACACAGTTACAGAGGAAACTGTGCTCTCTCACTCTACAGACCTTATTAGAAACCAGGTGAAAAAGGCTTTTGTCAGGATGACCTGTGAATTTGGGGCTGCACAGGTTGCAAAGGACAGAGGCACAACTTAATAGGATTTTACTGTTTCTGCCTTTACCGTTATTAAATTTACTCAGACTTCTTTCCATTTGTTTGCTGGTCTGAGCCCAGATTCTCGAGTTGGAACATCAGTTCTATTTATCATCTGCCATTTTTGTTTCTAATAAATTATAATTACTATTTTTAATGTTTATTATTTATTTTGAGAGAGAGAGACAGAGTGTGAGCAGGGGAGGGGCAGAGAGAGAAGGAGACACAGAATCCGAAGCAGGCTCGAGGCTCTGAGCTGCCAGCACAGAGCCCGACGCGGGGCTCGATCCCACAAATCGTGAGATCATGGCCTGAGCCAAAGTCAGACGCTTAACTGACTGAGCCACCCAGGCGCCCCTGTAGCAAGTTATTTAAGGCTACACATTTTCCTCTGAGGACTTCTTTGGTTGAATCCTGTGAATTGAATCTTAAGAAGCCAACAAGAATTAGCCAGGGAAGGGTATTCCAGACAAAACTATCAATGGGATCAAAGGGGCAGGTGTGTAGAAAGAACATCTGTGTGTGTGTCAGGGGCCTAAGTGGTTTGGGGCGGCTCAAGCCGGGAATAGCAGGGATCGTGCCAGAGAGGCGGGCAGAGGCCAGCTCATGGACAGTCGTGATTCCTTGCTAAGGAGTTCGACTTTGTGGCTGGGGAGCCATGGAGGTGCATGAAGAAGCAAAATCTCTTCTTATAATGGAAACCATAGCAGGTGACCCCCCCCCCCCACTCTACACATACACAGCAGTTAGTCCCACACACGCCATTGCAGGGCCTTCGTCCTCTTGGGGTTCACCCATGGCCAACAGTGGGGTGTAAGACTTCTCTCTGCACACTTTCCTGGGTTTTCTGAGCCAAACTCCACCGAGCTGCCTGGAGCAAATAAAAACCAATGTGGGAGGGGCACCTGGGGGACTCAGTCCATTAAGCATCCGACTCTCGAGTTCAGCTCAGATCCTGATCTCACGGTTCAGTCCGTGAGATCAAGCCCTGCATCAGGCTCTGTGCTGATGGTGCAGAACAAGCTTGGGATTCTCTCTTTCCCTCTCTCTCTCTGCCCCTCCCCGACTCATGTACACACTCTCTCTCTCTCTCTCTCTCAAAATAAATTAACATTAACAAAAAACCCAACAACAGTGTGGGGACAGAAGCACACCAGTACCCCCAGTTGGAACATGGCAGCATCCTTCTGGTTCCCAGCAGCCTTGAGGAGCCAGCCTGGGGCTGGGGAGGCCTGGGGGTATGCCTTCTGAGCCCACCCCAGCTCCCTGCATGGCCTGGGGGGTCCAGAGCAGCAGACCTTGCCTGGTTCCTCCCCAGCCCCTCCCTGCACCCCTCACTGCTTCCAAGCCCGTGCCAGGGCCCCCCCGGGAGGCTAAAGCCCCTCGCTCCTGACTCCTGGAGGAGTGGGGACAAACAGTCCGCACCCCCGAAAGTGTCTCCTACGAGGCTGCAGCATGGCCATGCAGTTAAGTCCCTGAAAAGGGGGCTTGGGCTAAAGGAAGCAGCTTCCTGGTCCAGCTCTGAGCCGGCCTCCCACAAGACACACGAAGCCCCCAACCCCGTCCTTTAAGAGCACGGGCCGCACGCATTGCTGGCTGAAAGCATTTCTGTGTCCTTTTCTCCGCCAAGGACTTCCTTCTCTCTCCCTGACTTGGAAGGAGCTGGGAGCCCGGAGGTGGGTCTGACTGTCCCTTCTCCCAGGAGAGCACCCATCGTACTGTATTGCCACTGATGAGGCACCTGAGTTTGTCCTCGTCTGTAAACTGGGCCAGTGATCCATTCCGTACAGGGCCGGTATGAGGACCACGTGAGGGACGGTGTGCGGGGGACCTGCTGGCCGCCAATGACCTCGTGCTCTTTTCTTTGCAACAGAAGAGAAATCTCCCAGGAGGGAAGAGTCCGATGAGGAGGAGAAGCCACACAGGGCCGAGAGGACCCCCACCGGCCATCCCCAGAGGATGCCCGTGTTTCCAGGCATGGACCCGGCCGTGCTAAAGGTACCACGCTTCACACCCGGAATGACCCTCAACCATGGCAGTGCAGAGAACGGGTCCCGTGTCTCTTTCCCTCCCTCCCTCCTTCTCTGCCTTTCTTCCCTCCCTCCCTCCCTTCCTTCCTCTCCATTTTCCAAACCGTTTGACTCACAAGAAGTCGCGAAAATAGTACAGGGCGTTGCCCTGCGTGCCTCGCCCGGCTTCCCCCGGTGATGCCTCACGTGCCACAGTCCGCGTCATTTGTTGCAAGAACAAGAAGCCAGTATACGGCAGATGCATGCTGGTGCCTGTGGTTGATTTTATAGGCCTTCAACATGGCAATGTCTTAGTTTTTTGGCTTTATTGTCCAGCGTTGGAGCAAACGCTATCTTACAGGGCGGCCTAACATAGCAGGTGGTGAAAGGCTCCGGGCTCCCAGGTGGACGCGTGCGTTAACTCCCGAGGCCAGTCCTTGGGTCCCTGGACACAGCTCAGATCCACTGCGCCCTGTGAAAACGAGGCCCTTGCAGTCCGTTTGCTTTGGTTAGCACGAGTTCCTCGAGCCCGGTGGCAGCCACACCTGCTGGGGTCACTCCTGGCCACAGGCGACGCTTGGTCGTCAGTTACCATCAAGGGAGGCCAGCAGGCTCATTCTGGAAGGAGCCCTGGAGTTGGGGGTGGGGGTGGGCAGACCCGGGTGCCAGTTCACGAAAACTGTGACTCTGGGCGAACTGCTTGAGCTCTGACCTTTCGACAACTCCTCTGTGAAATGGGAAAGCGGGCTACTGTGTGTCATGTCAGGCCTGGTGGAGCCCAAACGGGGGGCGTCCTGTGCACAGAGCCGTGAGGCAGACGGTAGTGAGGGGGGCCGTCCCAGAGCTGCCTCAGAGACAGCTGTCACCTGCCACTGTCCCAGCCCCGGATCCCCGAGGTTCAGAACCCTGTGCCCACCGTACTGTCACCCCGTCCCCAGCCAGGCCCTCCAAAAATGGGTGAAAATGCACCCTGCTTTTTTCCTGCGGGAATCCGATGGTGAAAAAGCCTCATTTTATTCATGTGGACACAGGACCAAGGAGCTTGGCAGAGCTGAACGTCCTCTGCAGGATGAGGCCATTACCTCCATGGCCAGGTTCTCGGGAAGTTAAAGGAGATAGAACGTCCTGACCTGAGAACATGCAAATGGTGACTTTTCCATCAAAGGCAACATGATTGTGTGGGGTTTTGATGGTGGTCCTTTGATCCTAGTGGTCAAGGGTGGCTGCATGGACCACAGGCCTGGCCTCCAGTTTCTCTTAGCCTCCGAGGTCAGGCTGTGTTTCCTGCCTGGGTCCAGTTCAGATGCTGGGGGGCCCTGTTGTCACCATGCAGCGATGATGCCATCAGATGGGACCCTTTCCCAGACCAGAGGCAGTTACAGACTCGGCTCTCTTCTCTCCCCAGGCTCAGCTGCACAAGAGGCCAGAGGCAGACAGTCCCAGCGAGACCCCAGGCTGGACCCCCCAGCCCAAGACCCCCAAGTCCCCCTTCCAACTGGGCAGTCGTGTGTTGCCCTCCAGCATGGAGAAGGACGACAGGTGAGGGGTCCTGCGGATGAGGCCCCCCCAACCCCAGACTCAGGATGCACTTCTGGGGGGTGCTTAAAACAGAACAGAAAGAGAGTTTCAACTGTTTTCTCCCTTCAGAAGCAGAACTTTGATCACTGGAACTCTCAGCAGCCTGATGTCTGAAAACACACTGAGGTGGGGCACCTGGGTGGCTCGGTTGGTTAAGCGTCCAACTCTTGGTTTCAGCTCAGGTCATGATCTCACAGTTCGTGGGTTTGAGCCCCACGTCGGGCTCTGTGCTGACCGCTCAGAGCCTGCTGTGGATTCTCTCTCTCCCTCTCTCTCTGCCCCTCCTCCACTCGCTGTCTCTCTCTCGCTTTCTCAAAAGTAAATAAATAAACACTTAAATAAATAAAAATAAAAACACACGGAGGTGGGGGTAGAGGACCAGGAATCAAGGCAGCTGGCCTCACTCTTTTCCTCCTCTCTCCATGTCCCCCATGGAAGTCCAAGGCTCTGTTGTGGGAAGACTACTGAGCTAGTCCAGCCTTCTCCAGACCGATGGGGAAACGGAGGCATCCTCCCTCCTCCTACCCTCCAGGGAAGGGCCTTCGTCTCAGGAGAATCAGGGAGACCCTGGAAGATGGATGGTAGGGCACAGCCAGGCTGAGCAAGACAGCTTAATTCAGCTGCCCTGCGTCGAGTCACTGCCCCCATCCCAGGCTGGGCCAGCACGACACAGAGACGAGCCCAGCACGGCACCTGCCCCCTCCCCCACCCAGGGGGCTCCCAGACCAGGCGCTTCAGCAGCTGGGGGTGGAGGTTGCAGAGCACGCTTTAAGGGCACTCAGGTCACACACATCACACAACCGGGCTTCATCCCAGAGGTGCGGCTTGAGAGCTGCGTGGCCTGGGAGAGTCCCTGGGCCTCTCTGAACCTCAGTCTCCTCATCTGCAAAATGGGTTGACTCAACCCCCCTGACCTTCCAGGGCGGTCATGAGGATGAACTGGGGAAGTGTGTGCGGAGCCCTTCTGCACATGCTCAGGAAAGGATAGTGGGATTCTCGTCACGAGTTAGCACATAAAAGTTAGGGGTTGTTCCTGCTAGGACTGTAATGTCGTAAGTGCTGTGAGAGAGCAGGGGTTGGCAAGCTGTAGTCCACGGGCCAAATTCCGCCCACGGTCTCTTTTTGCAAATAAAGCTTTATTGGCACACAGCCACACCTATTCTCTGTGTATTGTCCACGGCTGCTCTCCTGTTACAGGCTGCAGGGCTGACTAGTCATAACACATACCTCCTGACCCACAAAGTCAAAACGACTTACTCTCTGGCTCTCTATCGGACCCCCGTGCTAGAGGAAGGCCTCATAACCCAGACTTGGGGAAGGAAAGTGCAGAAAAAGGCTTCCAAGAGAAGAGGTAGCCTGAGCCGAGTCACGATGGACAAAGAGAAGGCAGCGTGAGGGGGGCCCCAGGCTGAAGGCAGAGCACGTGCAAAGGCCTCGAGGCACGATATTACGGGGAGCTGCGGGCAGTGCCTATTATTAGAGCACAGGGTGGGCTGTGGGAAGCAAAAGACAAGAGGTTGAGAGAGAAACAGGCCACAGCTGAGATGGTGCCTCTCATGCCCTGGGGACATGAGAATCGCTCTGGAGTCAGCAGAAGGTTCTAGCATTTCTCTGGGGCTGGAGGACCCCCAGACCAGACCAGGGTCTCAGAGGCAGCTCTGGAGGCCGGGTCTTGTGCCTCCGCCATCAGGCAAGGCTTGCCTGGGGTGGCCCGGAGCCCTGTCTGCCCAGGGGACCTCTCCTTCTTCGTAGACCCCCCATCCCTCTTTCTGGGTCACCCAAGTTCCCCGAGCCCTCTGGGGCCATGGGGTCAGGGACTCTCCCTGAGAACAGCGTAGATCAGGTCTCGTGAGTACTTGTGTTTGAATTATAAAAGTAGTGTATATGCCCACCATAGAAATTTTGGAAAATATAAAAAGAATATAAAACAAAACAAAATCACCCATGATTCGTGCCTCCCCCCCAAGACCACCAGTGTGATGCTGGGGTCTCTCTCCTTCCATTTGAATGTAATTTTATTTTGTTTTATTTTTTTTTTAATTTTTTTTTTCTTTCAACGTTTTTATTTATTTTTGGGACAGAGAGAGACAGAGCATGAACGGGGGAGGGGCAGAGAGAGAGGGAGACACAGAATCGGAAACAGGCTCCAGGCTCCGAGCCACCAGCCCAGAGCCCGACGCGGGGCTCGAACTCACGGACCGCGAGGTCGTGACCTGGCTGAAGTCGGACGCTTAACCGACTGCGCCACCCAGGCGCCCCGTGAATGTAATTTTAAATGTAATTGAGATGACGTGTGTGTACGTAGCTCATTTTCCCGTTAATGTGTTTCATGTGACCGTTTTCCCAAGGCCATTAGACAATCTTCATAAAAACGATCTTTTTCTTGAATAAAATTTCAAACGATGATGACTTTATTGTTTTTGTTAAAATGGTACGTTCTCATTACAAGCAGTTAGGAGGACACAGCAAAGTACGTGAAGAAAGTAAAAAATAAAATACTCAGAAGTGTCACCATTGAGACGGCAGCTGCTCAAATGTATTCACTTAGAGAGATGTGTCGACCTGTGCACTTGTGGTTTGAGTACTTTTCTGGGTGTGTGTTCTTAAAAAAAAAAAAAAATTAAAACAAATCTTGACCTCTTCCAAACAATCATTTGTTACCATTTGGTAAACGTAAGGCATCTATCTGTGTCATACAGGCGACATATTAGTCAGTGTCTTCCAAAGAAATAGAACCAGTTGGATGTATATATACACATGCACATACAGAGTAGGAAGAGACAGGGAGAGAGAGGGAGAGGAAGAGGGCGGGGGATGGGAAAGGTAGAGAGCGAGGGAGAGGGGGAAAGAGAAGGAGGGAGAGGGAGAGGGAGAGAGATTGATACTTATTTTAAGGAACTGGCTCACACGATTGTGGATGCTGGCAACTTCCAAATCCATAGGGCAGGCCAGTAGGCTAGAGACTCAGGGAAGAACCAATGTTGTAGTTTGAGTCCCCAAAGCAGTCTGTTATCAGAATTGTGGGGAGCTCAGTCTTTGTCTATTAAGGTCTTCAACTGATTAGATGAGGCCCACCCATAACATGGAGAGTAATCTGCTTTACTCAAGGTCTACCGATTTTTTTTTTAAATACTAATTTCTTTAAAAAAATTTTTTTTTTACATTTATTTATTTTTGAGAAACAGAGACAAAATGTGAGCGGGGGACGGGCAGAGAGAGGAGACACAGAATCCAAAGCAGGCTCCAGGCTCTGAGCAAGCAGTCAGCACAGAGCCCGATGCGGAGCTCGAACCCAAGAACCGTGAGATCATGACCTGAGTCGAAGTCAGACGCTCAACCGACCGAGCCACCCAGGCATCCATCCCAATACTAATTTCTTTTTAGAAAATACCTTCACAGAACCATCTAGAATAATGTTTAATCAAATACCTAGGTACTGTGGCCTAGCCACATTGGCACATACAAATAACCATCATGGGCATTTCCATGGATGGAGAGCTAGAAGGATGGAGACACGCCTGGGTGACAAATGGATTGATGGATGGAAATAATTCTGTGTCAAATGACTTCACAGCTGCAGATTATTTCATAGAACGGGCATACCACGATTTATTTAATGTTCCTCGTTGTTGGGCACTTTGATTCCCGTTTCTTGCGAATCAGTCACGTTAACACGGGCACCTTTCCTACCTGCGAATGCCCAGCTCAGCGGCGCCTCGGCACAGAGGGTTTGGAGTCTGGTACTGCATAGCCCCGCCTGCAGGGAGTCCTCAGTCTGGCTCACGCTTGACTCTCACTGGCTTTGTGGTTTCAGGTCGGAAGAGCCCTCTCCCCAGTGGTTAAAGGAGCTGAAATCAAAGAAGAGGCAAAGCCTGTATGAGAACCAAGCTTGAGCAGGTATGAAGGGGCGCAGTGGGGGAACGTGGACAGAGCCTGCAGTCTGCAGAGTCAGGAACCTAGGCCAGAAGGCAAAGGGTTGGAGACTTTTGGACCCTAGGAGAGAAAAGGGGAAATGGGTGCGGGTGTTCCGGGCTCGTATAAAGAGGGCTGTGGTGACCTGTTTCCTGTTAGGGGAAAAAACCCAGGTGGACAGCCTAGGGGAAGAGCCAGATAAACCTGGGCTCTGGGCTCATGCACTTGGCTAGGCTCTTCTCCCTGCATCTCAAAATGCTTTCATAAAGTGGAATGGTGAGACATCAGAGATTAGCTTAATCCAAAATGTCCCCAGTTTTTGCATTCATATACAGCCTGCATAATTAAAAATTAATTTGGAAAAAAAAAGATTAAAAAAGTCAGATGATTCGATATGCCCCAGTGCAGGTCCCAAATGACTTCAGATCTCGAACTTCAGTTTCCCCATCTGTAAAATGGGCTAATCGTGTCCATGTTGCCAAGCGGTCCCCAGGGCTCAGTAAAGATGCACTAAAGTGCCGGTGGTTAGTCCTAGGGGTAGGAGCATGTGGTTCATGCTCCCTAAAAGTCTGCTCTGACATGAGCAGCACAGGAGACCCTCCAGCCCCTTACCCACAAACCTCAAATCCAGAAGACACCGACAACGAAGCATTTTCATGACCTACTTAGAGGCAAACCTGACCTGCATGGATGTCTTTACATTACACTGCAGGTGTGATAGGGCTTTGCATAATATATATGTATGTTACATAATACATATATGCATGTATATACGTTTATATAATAAATGTCCCCCCCGCAATTCTAAATTCCCATCTAAATCTGTGCTCAGTTTTAGATAAGGAATCAGAGCCCGTGTTTATTTTGTGTTTAGGGCTATACATGTGATATCTCAATTAAACTCATAGAAATCCATATGAGGAAACTGAGGCTGGAACCCTGACCTGACCCTAAATTTCACATTTGTTCCACTGCATCTGACCACCGGCCACCTTTCTCACCCCACTCCTCCAAAAAACAAAACAAAACTCCAAACTCATCTTTCTTAACCTATGGCTTGTGGGGATGGCCGTCTTGGAGAATACCCAGAAAAGGTTTTAAGGCTTAATGGCAGAGACACATAGGGTCACATGTTCCCCTTGCTGACGTCAGGACTGTCTCTTCCTCTCCAGACGGGACACTGCCACGTCTAATGAACAGAAGCCTTAACTGTCAGAACCTGAAGACGAGGCCACGCTGCTGCCATTCGTTCCTGCACATGGTTACCTGCCTGGGCCCTTGCAGTTGGGTGGAGAACACCGGCTGGGGCCTCCTGGCCCTCCGCAAGCTCACCCCGGATCAGGGCGGCAAGACCCACCCTCCTCAAGCAGTTGCACGTCTCCCCAGACAGCACTTCAGGCTGAGAACGAAGCCAGGCTGCCCAGAATTGTCCATGTTGGTGGTTTTGTGTTTTCCATAAAAATGTGCATTTCTACCTACTTTTAGACACCACTCCAGGAACATGGGTTTGAGGCTGGACCATCTCCCTGGGTTCTGGAAAAACACCTGTATTGTGAAAGCACTTCGTCCTCCAACCCCAGGGCAGGTCTCTTTCAAGAGCATATTTCCAAGGAAGAAGAAACCATCCGTTTCCTGCTGTAACTGTCGTCCACGGCAGTGTTACAGGGTTGGGGTTTTGATTGCTTTTTTGGCAAGTTCTGTCTCCCTCCCTCTCAAAGAATCAGCAGTTCCAATTTTTTAAACACACACGTCTTTGCAGTGTATTAATCCTTTCAGTGGGGCTGTGTGCATAGTTGACCTGTCTCATTATACGTCTTTTTTGTTTGCTTTAGAAGACGTTAAAGCAATAATTCAGCCAATTTTCTTTGAAATTAGATATGTACATATGTTTTTTTATGTTAAAGAGCAGAAGGAAAGATATGTGAAGAGTTTGCTTGACATATTCGATCATCTCAGGTTATCTCATCCCTACCCGATGCTTTTAAAACAAATTCTAATTGTCACCCTTGTATACCAATCTTCTTGGCTCCTTTCCATCTGAGCTCTGATTTCTATGGAGTGACCTTTGTCCCTTGGCCTCAAATGTTCATAAATTGCAGCCCAAATGGCAGTGCCTTTTCACTCAAACATCAGACCTGCCCTGAGAATCTTTATCTCTAGTCGTTTTTGAACATCACCCGCACTGCCGGCATGGAAGAACCTTTCCAAATAGGTCTTTGAACAAATGCATGAATGGGGGGTTCTTTTTTTTTCTTTTCACCTCTTCCTTCTACCACTCCTCCGTCCCCCGCCAACTCCACCTGACCAAGTGCTTATTTTAGGTCCAAACGCAGGAAGTGAGGGTCTTGCTGAAACTCTTCTCTGGACGAAAGTGCTGGATGCTAGGTGACAAAGTATAAGGTTCACCTTGCCTCTCTCTTTTTTTTTTTTCTTGATAGCACTAAGCTCACTCCCAGGAATCTCCAGGACCTCTGGGGATCATCATTCTTTTTGGAGATTCTCAACACCAGCCTCCTCCACCTCTGAAACCCAAGGCTCCCGCAAACATCCCAGATATGCTTGACTGGCCACCTGCCATGCCTGCAGTCGCCATAAACTTTGTGCCAACCTTGCCTGGGCCGTTCACAGGGCACCCTGTGACCGCTGAGGGGTGCCAGGGCTGAGTTTCCTAAGGCTACATATGGAAGGCTATATATGGGGATTGGGCACATGTACGCCCACCCCCTGACTTCCCAAGATGTGAAAATCTTTCTTGATAAATCCATTATTTGCAAAGGGTGTCAAAACATACCATACCATCCTTCCCCCTGGCCATGTCTCCAGGGGTCTCCATGTGTCTCCCCATCTCTTCTTCCTCCCTCACCCTTTACCATCTCTTCCTTCTCTTGGGGGGTGGGTGTGGGGGGTGAAGAGCAATCCTGTTTCTTCAGGTTAAGCCAAACATCTGGGCCCCGGAGGGCAGTTGTGGTTCAGCACCACGGACAGGGACCGAAGCCCCACCCCCTTTCCCCCCGCCAGTCCTTTTGGCTGAACTTTGGCTACTGATGGGCAGTTGTTGAACCATGTTACCCACCCAACCTTTTGCATCTGGAAGCCTCATTGCATCTGTGTCTAGAGGTTTGGCCCTGCTTGGTAATAATTTGAATTCCTTTCATTCCCCAAGTTAGTGGTCAATCAGTTCTCTGGGGCATTGGGTGGGATGCATCTAGGAACTGCTGCTTTGTGATTTTCCTTTTTCCTTTCCCCTTTCACTTTCCCTTTCCTTTCCTTTTTTTTTTTTTTTTAAATTTTTTTTGATCCACTTAATGTTTTAGAACAGTTTTGATGCAATGGCTTTCCAGGTCAATAGATCCCCTTTAAAGACACTCCGCATGTTCTGACCCTGACTCTTCCTGGCTCCTGTCTGTCTTTCCTTCAGGCGGGAAGGGTCCCTTGATGCCATTTTGGACAGTAGGAATTTACCTGCTCAGTTCAATGAGAATATTGATACTCACCCATGCAGAACTTTCCAAGGTTCAGTTCTGTTGTAGCCCAGTATATCCAACAGGAAAGAAGAACACTTGAACGTGAGATTAATCTGGAGATCTTTTGCCTATCCTCCCACACCTTGATTGGAAATAAGAATCCATTTAATTCCTTCGTGATTAGGATGTACAAAGTCCGCCCCCCCCTGAAAGTGACTAGAGCAGCCTCACCTCTCCACTGTACAAACGACCATCACAGGGGGTCAGGAGCCACCGTCTCCCTGCAGGCTCCCCATGAGCTCTGGATCCCACTATGACCAGCGCAATGATGTTAGAAGTGACTGATGCTTTGGAACTTTTGCGAATAGCTGGGCACGTGTGTCATTGGTTTTCTCCTCTTTCTAAACTGAGTGAGCTCTGGCACTCAGTGGACAGTTGTATGCTAGTTTCTTGAGTTTGCCTGGGCCACCTTTGGATATCTGTGTCTTCTAAAACTAACTTAATATGCCTTAACCATTTGTATGCAGTCAAGTCACCTGCCCTCATCCAACCGCCTTCCTGGGGGCCTTTGGCTCTCCTTAAATGAGAGCCTTATACTGAACACAAAACCCTATGTACGCACAGTCTCTCCCTCTGTCTACGCACACACACACACCCCCTTTGCACGTCAGCATTTTGATGGCTGGTCTTTTGATCAAGTCTGTGTGTTTTTCCCCTCCAGTGGGTCCCCTTCTTCATGGTCTTTTGCCTAATGAAACAGAGGCCTTTGGCTTGTGAAATCCCATGGTGAGACCTCAAAAATCAGTGTTGTGGGGGAATTCCTTGGTGCCATCAGACAAATTCTGGTGAACTCAAAGGCTTGCGTTGTTTCGATGTTGGGGGTTTTGAATGACACTGACCCGACAGCCTCAGGTTGTCCAGGATTCAGGAAAAGGACAATGAGATGGGGAGTTTTTCCAGGGGGACAAGCCAAGTCATCTGTTGTGAGACAAATGTGTTTCCCTTTGTGTGTCCTGGGAAGTGAGGCCAACTCCAGGCATTGCTAAGGAGCGAGAATAGAAACAGGCACAGGCCTGAGGTCCCAGAGTTTAGGGGCTGCGCAAGGGATTGGGGGGAAGCCCTTGATGTGCTTTCCCCACAGGAGAGCTCAGCTGCTCCCACCCAGTGCTGTGAACTGCCTCGTCCATTTATGCTTGTACATGTCTTTGTCACACCCCCAGATTGCCCCAGGAGCTAGGCATAATCACAAAGCTGAAAACCCACAGGGACATGGCCAGATCGCCTCCCAAACTAAACACTTTCTCACAGGTGACTCGGGCCTGCACAAAAGACAGTGTCCCTCCCAAGGAGAATGCTGGCAGGCCTGCCTCTCCCTCATCAGTTTCTGTTTCTTCCCCCTCAATCCTTGTGTTTCTCCCTGCCCCATAATCCTGTCCCTTAACACAGGAAGCTAGGTTCCTGTCCCTAGAATTTCAGGGTGAGCCTGAGGGGAGAAGTAGAGGCAGGAGAAGATCTCTGTCCAATGGGGGATACCCTCCCCCCTTAATTCACGCCGTGGCAAAGTCACCACCGTAATGGAGAAACCTACAGCCTCAATTGTGCCTTTCTTCCACCGCCATGTATTAAACATGGAAGCAAAACTGTGTCTTCCGTGGGGTGGGAGGGACAGCACTGACCTGGAGGGAGCCACCTGGAACAGGTAGGACCCACTCCACATGTGGAAGGCAGTCCACCTTGGGTTACACCCACCTAGGAAGCCACGGTTCTGGGCTCTGCTGTGCTATGAGTCAACCCCGCTGGGATTCTGGGCAAGCCGAGGTTCTGGAAATATAGGGCCACATAGAAAGCCAGTCAGTATGCGAGTGTGACAGGTGTTCGCCACCCTCTGTCCTTTGGTTCCCACCATCCCACCCGTCTAGAATTTGCTTTCTTTTGTTTGGATTGATTCCTGTGGGTAGGGGTGCAGAAATCTGGGTTCTGCAGACTCAGCCTCAGGTTCCTGGAGCGCTAACCCTTAAAATCAATCGGCTTCTCCCCGAATCTTCTTAGTCACTGTCCAACCTGGTGCCGGGACATCTCCCTCTATGAATCCGACTGGCCCCTTTTTTTGACAATCTCCAGTGGTGTCACGCCTACAAAAAAAAAAAAATGCTGTTGTCTAAAGAACAATTTGAGCTTTTTACTGGTCTCATTTCACATAGCCTTATAGATTCTGTAAATAGGGGGCTCAAAAATAATATATTGTGTTATGGAAGATAATTTTGTACTGTGCTGTTTCCTAAATCATACTAATATCCTAGAAACGATGTACTTCCCTGATGGATCTGATCCTCAAAACACTTTGTAAGATGGAGGGAGTGGAAATATCTATAAATCCGCTATATATTTTCCTAGCCTTTCTTCTGGGTCCCTTCCTGAGATATTTGAGTCACGGTAGGAAAGAAACTCCAGTCCTGTGTGTAGGTAAGTTAAACCGGCCTGCTGGTGTTCTTGCAATTGCCTTATGAATTCACAAGCTCTAGGGGTTCTGAACAGAAGGTGGACGACAGGTACTTTATCCAATCCCAAAAAGAGTCTCTAATCGCGTGACTGAGAATTCATCTAGAAAAACTTATATTTTTAACGTTAAAACAAATGGGGGCTTCCTGGACCTCACAGAGTATTGGATATCTACAAGTGCTTTTATATTTTGTAACTGTAAAGAGGTTTCATACGCACAGAAGAGCAGTTGGGAATCTGGCCAGCTGCCATTAAACACGATGACCTTTGCATGTACAAAGATGTTGCATTCAGACTATGAAAATAGCAAATAAAGCTTCGATGCAAGTTGCACTGGAGAACTCCGTGTGTCAGTGTCGATGCAAGTTGCACTGGAGAACTCCGTGTGTCAGTGTGCGGATGAATGGACTCTCCCATGCATGCACCAGCTGAGTCGGTCTGTTGTCTGTGCTGAGCTGGGGGCCACCGGCAGGAAGGGGGGGAGCTGAGGTCCTGGGAAAGGGGACCCGTGGAGACAAAGCAGGATTTCCATTCAACGTGGGGTTGAATCCTCATTCTGCCTCCTCCCGGCTGTGGGAGTGCTGATAGCAGCATTAGCGGGCAAGAGTTTAAGCCAGTGGTCCTCAACTGGGTGGATAGTGGCCCCCAGATGACACCTGGCAAAGACAGGGGACATTCTTGGTTATTACAAAGAGGGACGGGAGGTGCTTCTAGCATCTAATGGGTAGAGGCCAGGGGTGCAGATCAATATCTCACAGGGCACAGGACGGCTCCCCCCACCACCAAGAATTAACTGGCCTCCGATGGCAATAGTCCCGATACTGAGAAACTTTAGGCGGAGGAAACGTGGCATGTGAAAGTGTTGGGCCACACAGTAGGTCCTTTTAGGATCCAGAGATCCTAAAGGATCGGATGGGAGGAAGTCACACCAGATCCCCCTTAGACCTTCCCCCCTAGATCCCTAGCAGGTGGTGACTGCATCCCAAGTTAAGGGGGCAAAACCAGCTCTGGGTCCCACGATGGCCAGCAGGAAGTAGTCCCTTGGTTTGAACTGCCCAGAAGGATCCTCCACGGACAGAAGCAGGAAAGCCCCAGTCTGAGTGTTTTGCTTCATGATCTCTCCGTGGCTGTCCATTTGCAGGTGTGGCTCTGACCTCCAGCAGCGCCCCCGAGGTCACCTGCTTCCAGAGGCCAGCTGCAGCTGCCACCCAGCATTCCATCACCATCTCCAGAGACGCGGGGTCACTGGGCTCTAGGCTAACTTGAGGATTTTAGCCAAAAATAACAAAACCAACCCCTGTTTCCTGACAATTCACTCCTTGGCCCTCTCCTCATTTTAGTCTCCCAACCATCATTAATCATACTTTAAAAATGTATGGGCCTAGGGTTTTGGTTTGGATTTGTTTTTGGCTTCTGTTTTTCTCTTTGGGTTTTGTTTTTTGTTTCATTTTTTTGTTTGTTTTGGGGGGGCTTTTTTGGGGGTCATAAATAAGGTAACAATCATGTCTGCCTTTATTTCTATTGAGGCTAAGATCTGGGCCCTGGGTCAAGCCAGCCTCTCCACCTCTCTGCTGTGTGCTTCTGGGTAAGTGACTTCACCTCTCTGAACTTAGTTTCTGAATCATCTATAAAATGGGGATCGTAATTCCTTCCCTAAAGAGGGCTGGGTGGGGGGTGCACCTGGGGGGGTCAGTTGGTTAAGCATCTGACTCTTGATTTCGGCTCAGGTCATGATCCCAGGGCTGTGGGATCAAGCCTCATATCGGGCTCTGTGTCAAGCAGGGAACCTGCTTAAGATTCTCTCTCTCCCTCTGCCCCTCTCCTCTACCCCTCTCTCAAAGAAGGAAGGAAGGAAGGAAGGAAGGAAGGAAGGGAAGGAAGAAAGCAGTCAGGCTGGGTGAAGATTAAACATAATGTTCATGAAGTTGGCACATAGCCTTGCACATAGTAGATCTTCAATAAATGGTAGCTGTTAGCCATATATGCCTCTATATGAAGAAAATAAATTTTTGTTGGGTCTGTTACAGCATCCCGTGGACACCCAATTTGGGGGTTATGTTTAGGATGACCTGACTTAAAATTTAGGCCATAATGGCACATGGGAAAATTGATTCCGGGGCCCCTCGCTTTAAGAACTGGTATCATTCCAAAAATGTCACTTAGCGGATTAGGAAGGTGGTAGCTCCAGGAAGCCAAAGAAAGGGAGTTGGGGGGCACTGGAGAGCTTTACACCCCGATGCCCGCCCGTCGGCGCTGTCAGGCTTCCAACAAAGCTGATGAGGTCCGTCTGCCCCCAGGAAGCCATCAGGGGCCATGGCGGAGGACACAAGCACTGGGGCCTCCCTGGGCCCACTATTGGAGTGAAATGGCCCGAACGGAATCGGGTGGACGGGGCGCTGCCTCAGCAGGCTGGGATGTGCTGGGTTGTCGAAAAGCACCCATAAATAGGACGCTCCGAGCAAAGGCAGACTGAGTCTGCAGACGGTGCTGGCCCCTCTGTTCTTCCTGAGGCTACAGCAGCAGGTTCATTCTGGGATGGGCAGGGGAGGGGAGGCGAGAGCTGCCCCGGCAGGCCCAGACCTTTGGGGATCTCCCTGGGGCATGCACGGCTGGCCCCTGCACAAACCGGGGATTCACTTAAAGGCTGGAGCCAAGAGGGAGGAGCCGATCCAGCCACCAAGCCCAACTGATATCACAGGGAGGTGGCCAGGGAAGAGTCCCCGGGCATGTGCTTAGGCTTCCTCCTAAGCGCAGCTGAGGAAGGGGGGTGAACAAATTGGGGGCTGCCAAGGACCCTGAGGGTCCTCCCTGAGCTGGGCCAGGCCCCGTGACCTGCTGAGGCCAGGCATAGACAGGACAAGCATCCTGTAGGCTATGCATCCCTGGGCCTGTGTCCAGAGCATATGGGCTCCGCAGCTGCACCCGCCAGCAGTGGGGGCGCTGGGGCCACGGTGGGGGGCAGTCAGGCGCGGGGTGTAGATGTGTGTGCCTTGTGGACCACTGCGGACGTCTGAGATGGGCACGGTGTGTGTGTGTGACAGGTGGGGGGGGCCGTCGTGTACAGTGGGTGTCATGTGACTGTGTACAAGGACCACGGGAGCTTATGTGTGTGCAAGTTGCGTGCATGTGTGTGTGCTGATAAACTGGAGAACAGTCCCCTGTGTGTGTCACGGGACAATCATGAGAATCCTCCCACGTGACTACTGTGGGGCCTGTGTTTTGTGTCACGGTCCCCACAGGGATGCAGGGAACGGTCTGTCTGTGTCTGTGTCTTTAAGTGGCTGGTACACAGTAAGTGCTCCATAAGTGCATATGGAATAAATCACCAAACGTCTGGAAACCGGGCCAGAGCAGGTGTCCTGGGATCTGGTCCTGCATCGTGCATTCTCTGGATATCTGTCTGTCTGTCTGCCCATCTCCCACCAGTCTGTAGTCTGCCGTTCATCCGGGTTACCCAGCCCCAGGCCAGGCACTGAGCAGGTGCTCCTGGAATCTTAGATTGTAGGTAACAGAGTGAACAGAAGACCGTAGCCCAGAGCGTGGAGGTGGGAGGGAGATCCTGTGCCAGCCCTCTTTTGAGGAAGCCACCCCCTCAGCCAGGGTCCGGAGGTGGTGTGCCTACACAGAGCAGAAGAACCCTGTTTTGGGGAGTAGTTGATTGGGGAGGGGGGGAGGGGGGGGGGGTGGCGGCTTTGGGGCCAGGCCAGTCCCCTAGCAGGTGACCCATGTGGATGCTCAGTGAATGTTTGGCCGGGTAAGCTAGAATGACCCAGTGCAGTGAGTCACGACCACGTCCCCCAAAGCAGCAAAAGGTTCTGTAGCTCACCTTCGACCTCAATCTCATCCGTACCTCGTTCGTCCCGGTGCACCCCGTGACTCTTCCTCTGCTTGGAGCCAGACGCGTTCCCTGGCAGGCGGAACAACATAGCGCACACCGAGCTGTAAGCTGCAGCGGGCAAGAGCCACGGCGGCCTTGGGGGCAGCTACAAAGGTGACACACGCAGGGCAGGAAGGGGAGTCCCAGCAGCTCCAGGCCTGGGGCACTCTCTTGGGCCCTCAGGGTCAACTTCCCCAACGGGTGGCCTCAGAAAAGAGAAACCCCTACCAGCCATCGGGGCCAGAAAGACACCTCACTCCCTTCACGCCTTTACTGCACCCTCTCTCCTGTGTCCTCATCTGGAGGAGCAGGGCCTTTGGACACACACAGCCTGTCTCCAATTGGGGGCACAGAGGCCCCAGGGGTTTCAGGAGACGTGGCTCGGACTCTCCTGCCTGACTTCAGTCCAGTTCTCTGGCTCCTCTGGGCCTCAACAGCCCCATCTGGAAAATGGAACAGAAATGCACAAGCTGTCTCCCCCCAGAGGCAGTAGCTAGGAGACTAAATGTAAAGGTCATTGCCCTGGCCAGCTAAGGAGAATTCGGACGGCTGGAATTTGTTGGCTCTCCCCTCTCTGAGCCTCCCTGGGGGCTTTAACCTGAGATGGGGTTGGAGGATAGGTTGACTAAAGGGATAACTGTGGATGGGGGCAGTTCTGAGGATGTGCTGGTGGCTTTCATTTTTTTTTTTTTAATGTCATTCATTTTTGAGAGAGACAGAGCATGAACGGGGGAGGGTCAGAGAGAGAGGAAGACACAGAGTCCGAAGCAGGCTTCCAGGCTCCGAGCTATCAGCACGGAGCCCGATGCGGGACTCGAACTCACGAACCGTGAGATCGTGACCCGAGCCGAAGCCGGACGCTTAACCCACTGAGCCACCCAGGTGCCTTGTGCTGGTGGCTTTAAAGAAAGTGGAAGAGAAGAAAAGAGGCCTTCCTCGTCTTGGGATTGGGGGGACCACAGGGTTGGTCTAGGGACTTCTAAAGGCCTTTGCAAAGACGCAGAGGCAGTGCCCGCCTGGAAGGCAGATGCCACCACAGGCCCTTCCTGGCTCCGTGGGCCTCGTCCACAGCAGCGTGCAGGAGAAAAGAGCCAGCCGACTTACCGAATCCTGGTTCCTCTGCCTAACTTGCTGTGCAGCCCAGGACAAGTACCCTTTCTGAGCCTTCTATAAAATGACCAGAACAGATGTAACTCAGGGGCCTTCTGCAAAGACAACTTGTGCTTCTAGGTGGATAAGAGAGGCAAAACCTTCCTCTTCCTTTGCAGTCTTTCCCTCTCTGGGCGTGGGACAGGTGAAGGTCAACTCAGACGTGGCGAGCTGCTGTTTCCTTCGTTGGCACAGGGAAATTCCATGTTAAGGGAAATACAGATTTCTGGCCTCTCTTGAAAAGTTTAAAACAGGGCCCACATTCCCTCCTAACCATAAGCGGCTTCATTTCCTTCCCCTGGGTCATTTCACCCTGTTAGTTTGGGGTCAGATAGTAGCTGCAATCCTGGTTTGAGATTCCTGGAGACATTCCCACGTGTGGCCACGAGGGGGCAGTGCAAGCCTACAGTCGATGCTGGATCCCAGCACGTCCAAGGCAGAGCAGATGGAACGGAGGGATGGTCCTCCTGGCCCTGCCCCAAGGAGGACCCTGCAGAGGGAGGAGATAAAGGGGTGGCCCTGGGAGCTCCACGCCCCTGGGATGCTCAGGATGCTGCCCTTTCAGGTGATCGTATACGAAATGGAGAACTTCCAGGGCAAGCGGTGCGAGCTCTCGGCTGAGTGCCCCAACCTGACGGAGAGCCTGCTGGAGAAGGTGGGCTCCATCCAAGTGGAGTCTGGGCCGTGAGTACCTGGGCCCCCAGCCCCCTCCTCACAGCCCTGAGCCTTCCGGGGGTCAGGAGGTCCGGGTTCCAGGTCTAGGTCTGCTGTGGGGTCTTAGGCGACTCCCTTCCCATCTCTGGCCTCAGTTTTCCCATCTGTCAAATGGGGATAACACTGGCACGTGCTTCAGAGAGAGTGTCTGTGAAAATGAATGGAAACGTGCACATAAATAACAATACAATAATAACAATAATAATGAGGAAGAGGTGGAGAAAGGAGAGGAATTATCTTTGGATTACCTACTAGGTGCCAGGCATTGTGCTGAGAAGGTTCCTGAGCACCTACACAAAGGCTGCACATAAAACAGATTCTTTACACTATTTCCCAGGATGTTTTTCTGGCTCAGAGTCTCAGCGGCCAGTATGTTCCGGGAGCTCCTTTCATACCTGGACCAGGGATCAGTGGTAGGGCTGGAGGGAGGGTTCAAGGTCGAAGGTCAGCAGCTTTGGGGGCCCTTCCCTCAGGAGACGCGGGTCCAGGCCGGTTTCCTCCTACAGGTGGCTGGCGTTCGAACGCAGGGCCTTCCGTGGCGAGCAGTTTGTCCTGGAGAAGGGGGATTACCCTCGCTGGGACGCCTGGTCCAACAGCCACCACAGCGACAGCCTCCTGTCCCTCCGGCCCCTGCACATCGTGAGTACAGCTCCTGCCCATTTGGGGGAGCTCCTAGAAGCAGGACCGGCTGGGAGCTGGGTCAGGAAGGCTCACTGCGCAAGCTTAGCTTGGGGCCGGGCTGGTACGGACCTGGCTGGGAAAGGGCCGTCTTCATTTCTGACCTAAAAGGTTGTGCGGGCTGAGAAGCAGCTGGCTACGGTCCAGTGGCCACTGGGCTGGGGACCGGGACACCAGGATTCACATCTTGACTTCGCCAGCACAGCACTGACACTTCCCTCTGTAACCCTGTTAAAATCAGGAGCCACATGGTCCAGTCCCAGACCAGCATTGTCCTTAAAGCAACGCATCCCGGAAAGTAACTTCAGAAAGTAATTGCAAAGCAGCTCGGGTTCTCCACCTGCCTTCCTCAGACACCTGGAAGGGACTCGGTCCACAGCGACACTCTTAAATGTTGCTCTGCCCCACCCCCACCTGCTCCACCCACCCTCCGTGGCTGCTCCAGCCCTTTCTTCTTGTCACACTCACTGATGCTACAAGTGGGAAGAAAGCTAAGAAGACCACAGTCAGAACCTGGTTTAGTCAGGAGGGAATCCTCCTGCCTTACTGATTTTTATCTCCTTCCGGCCTTTCTGTGCCTCGGTTTCCCTAGCTGCTAAATGATGGAGTTTTAATAGGAGCCCCACGGCCCACTCTCGGCTTCATGGCTCCCTGGCTCTAAGATTCCCAAGGAGGCTGGCTCTGGAGGAACCTCCCTAGCCTCCCGTCCCTCCTGCAGGCATCTCCTGAATCCCCTCCCTCGGGCAGGGGGCGCTCGGGGGTAGGCGTTATTCTGCGGTGACTGGATTCTTTCCCACGTCTCAGAAGCCCTGTTCTGAGCGTGGGAGGGGCCGCCGGCTCACCACGTGATCTCGCCCGCAGGATGGCCCGGATCACAAGCTGCACCTGTTTGAGAACCCAGCTTTCAGCGGCCGCAAGATGGAGATAGTGGATGACGACGTGCCCAGCCTCTGGGCGCATGGCTTCCAGGACCGCGTGGCGAGCATCCGGGCCATCAACGGGACGTAAGGGACCCAACCCCCCACTCCTGCCCCTGCCCCGCCCTCTGGCTCTAAATAGAATCTCTGTTCACTGTGTTTCCTACACAGCGGACGCTCCCTGCCTCTCCAGGCATGGCGGGGGCGGGGCCCATGATGGGAATGGCTAATTGTTCACCCTCCATAACCATTAGATTTCCAGGAAGCATTGACTTGTCGGAAGTTTTATCTTTATTTTTAAATCAAGTGAAATCTGTTGCTCTTACCTGTCCCTATCTAGGTCTTCACTCCTTTGCCAAACCTCCCCAGGCCCTTGAACTGATCCTCAGGGGCACTTTTGTTTGTTTCCTTTCACAGTCCTTGCCCTTCTTACCCAGGTGAGAAGTGACATAGGGGTTCTCTAGATATGACCTGAATAGTATACAGGAGAGTGCGTAGTACATCACCTCCCTCCTTCTAGGCTTAATATCTCTGTTAATGCAATCTTAGGATCATTTTCCCTTTGTCCGTGACTACATCTCACTCTGTGGGCTTGAGATCTGGGGTTGAGCCTTAAAAGGTGCCACTCCTCCCTGATAGTAATTTATTCAACAACTTTGTACTGAGCATTTCTATGTGTATAATATGGGGGCAACAAGAATTACACAGCCTCTGCCCTCATGAATTTTAGTCTGCTGGGGAGACAGACAAGGAGACAGGTATTCACAACTTATTGTGACCAGGATTGTGATGGGAGACTCACAGGGGCTGTCTGATTCAGCCTGGGGACGTCAGCAAGGGCTTTCCTGGAGGAGGAGACATACGAATCGAGACGTAAAGAAGATGAATGAAGGGAGAAGCACGTGTAAGCGTTCAGAGACACTCCGTTTCAAGGAAAGTAGAATGAGAGAGGTTGGAGTATGGGGTGTAGAGAAGACATGTTGAGATGTTTGGTGAAGGACCTGGGAGCAGGGTAGGGAGTTTGAATTCATCCGGAGGGCACTGGGGAGCCAGGGAGGAATTTAGGCAGGCAGAGAGCGTGGTCAGATGCCGGCTTTAAAAGCCTCGGTCTGGCTGGAGGCAGGAGGCTGACCGTCCTTACCGCAGCCTTGGTACCCGGCAGGTGGGTTGGCTACGAGTTCCCCGGCTACCGTGGGCGCCAGTACGTGTTCGAGCGGGGTGAGTACCGCCACTGGAACGAGTGGGACGCCAACCAGCCGCAGCTGCAGTCTGTGCGCCGCATCCGGGACCAGAAGTGGCACAAGCGGGGCTGCTTCCTCAGCAGCTGAAGGGCACCCAGGCCCCAGTGGCCCAGGCCCGCCCTGGGGGGCAGCAGAGGCAAGAAGAGGAGGCTCCAGGGCCAGGGTGATGGTCTGCCTGTCCCCCCTTCCCCGGAATCTACTCAATAAAGCCTGGGGCCGGTCCCCCACCTGCCATGTTCCTCTGCGTCACTTCTTGAGGGGGCTGGGGCTTTAGGGTTCTGACAGTCCCCAAGGTCGGCTGTGAGCTGGGCTCACCCCCAGGCTCTAGTCCTTTTAAGCAGAGTCACATGCACAACTTGCACTGATCTTGTGTCTGTTTTCCTGTCTCTGTTTCCATCTGTCAGTCAGTCCGTCTGTCCATCCGTCCGTCCATCCATCCATCCATCCTATTCATCCATCCTTCCTTCAGTCTACCCCTCTTTCTATCCATCTTTCCATCCATTCATCCATCAGTTCTTTCCATCCATCTCCCATTGATCCATCATCTTACCTCTCTCCCATCCATCCATCCATCCATCCACTCATCATCCATCTACTTATCCATTTATTTATCTGTCCATCTGTAGATCCATCCATCCATCCATCCATCCATCCATCCATTTATCCATCCATCCATCCATTTATCCATCCATCCATCCATTTATCCATCCATCCATCCACCCATCTAACTATCCATCCATCCACCCATCCATCCATCCATCCATCCATTTATCCATCCATCTGTCCATCCATCCATCCATCCATCCATCCATCCATTTATCCATCCATCTTTCCATCCATCCATCCATCCATCCATCCATCCATCCATTTATCCATTTATCCATCCATCCATCCATCCATCCATCCATCCACCCATCTAACTATCCATCCATCCATCCATCCATCCATCTATCCATCCATCCATCCATTCATCCATCCATGCATCCTATTCATCCATCCTTCCTCCAATCTACCCCTCTTTCTATCCATCTTTCCATCCATTCATCCATCAGTTCTTTCCATCCATTCTCCCATTGATCTATCGATCCTACCTCTCTCCCATCCATCCATCCATCCATCCATCCATCATCCATCCATCCATCCTTGCATCCACCCTTCCTTTATCCCATCCATCCATTTATCCATCATGTCCCCCTTCATCTCTCTGCCATGTCTGTTTTCATTAATTTATTCAGCAAATGCCAGCCCTGTCCAAGGCCTGAGGACACAGCAGGGAACAAAACAAAGTCCCTCCCTCATGGGGTTCACTTTCGAGGAGACAGACAGTGGGCCTCTTATTTATTTACATAAATAAACAAGTAGACTTCGAATATAATGTTAGGAGTTAGCAAATGCTATAGACAAGGAAGTGCAATATTATGATAGGAGGTAATGAGTGGGGTCCGAGAACTCTGCTCTGAGGAGGTGACACTGGAGTTGAGACTTGAATGAACCATGAGAACATTCTAGGCAGAGAAATAATGGGTGTGAAGGTCCCAAGCAGGAGTGTGGCTGGGTGATGGAGACATGGCAAAGACAAGGCCAGTAGGTCTGGAAAGGAGTAAGCAGTAGAGAGGGGGAGTGGTCAGAGAGGGTGTGGGGCCAGGGCAGTTAGGGCTGCACAGACCCTTCTCTGAGGGAGGTGGGAGCCATGGAGAGTCTGAGCGAGGCAAGACACGATTTAACAGGATCACTCTGGCTGTGGCACAGAGTGTAGACCATGGGGCCAAGGGGGGACCCAGGGACACCAGCCGGGACGCCCCTGGCTGAGCTCTGGTGGTGTGGCCTCCCTGACTCTGTCTTTTCCCTGCATCGGCAGCCCTGTGAACCTCCCAGAGGTCTCCTGAGAACCCATCCCACCTCCTACCTGTCACTGCTTGGAGCCTCAGTGCCTTCATCTGGCCAGAGGGGGGTGCTGTGGCAGTGCCGGGCATCCATGGGCGTCTCTGGCCCCAGTGAGAAGAGAAGGGAGTGTCCCCTCTGCCAGTCAGGTGACAACTGGCTTCCTGCAGCCCCAGGGACCCGCCCTGGACCTTCCCACCTCCATGAACTAGCCCTACATGTCTCCCCGACTTTGTTCCCCTGTTGTGCCCAGAGTCCCTCCCAGCCACCTGCGGCCTGCCCATGGCTGATGCAGCTGGTATGTGGGAGGACTGAGGGGGCCTCGGGGAAGGCGCTGAAAAGAATACAGCAATTGTCAGTTACTTCTGCTTGCGTGTTTAAAAAATATATATGCACAGCCGAGAAATCACCTTGAATTATTTTTTACTTTGGTGTGCAGGGGACAGCTGGGTGGGGCACCAGGCTCCGGGTGGAGGGTGAGGGGCACCCAGCAACCAGGCAGACAATAGGCGGGGTTGACTCCCGCTACGTGAGGATGGCAGCACCCCCCTTGGCCCCATATGCTCCCCAAGACCCGCCCCCTCGTCCCTCTCACGGACAGAGGCCTTGTTTTGCTTTATAAATGAGTCCTCGCTGAATGCCAGACGTCATCTGAATCACTGAGCCCTAAGAATGACCTTGACAGGCCAGCCCAGTTCCTCACCCCATTTCACAGATGAAGCAACCGAGGCTTAGAGAAGCAGCGTCACCTTCCTGGGGTCGCACATACCAGAAGTGTCAGAGCTGAGGTCTGTTCTCTGTGTGCTGACTCTGGGACATCCTCCCCTGAGCCCCATACACTGCGACCTGTCCGTCAGGGGCAGGGACACACAGCAGAGGAAAAAAAAAAAACACCAGCGGCAACAACAATAATAAAAGCCACCACCCTCTTGTCTCCAACACCACGGGCTGAGCACATCGCCAAGGGCTTTACGGTATCATCTCTAACCTACTGATAGGAGACACCCATCCCCGTGGGCAGAGAGAGAAATTGAGGCCCAGAGCGCTGAAGTAAATTGCCCCGGGTGCCAGAACCTCAGAGTGGTGGAATTAGGACTCAAGTTCACGTCTGCCTCCAAAGCTGTCGGCTGTCCGTGCTGTGGCTGGCCAAACTGAAGCCCTTCCTGCTGCTGTAGCTGCTGGCTGGGGAGGTGGCTGCCATTTATTGAGCACCTACTGTGTTCTAGGCGTTGGGCCAGTCTGTGACTGGTCTCGGCTAACACCAAGAAGGCCCATAACCAGCTCCCGGGTGAAGGGGTCAGAGGAGGGCTCGCAAGAAGGCTCAGTGCTGGCTCGGTGGGTCCCTCCCTCCCTCAGCCTGGGCTCGACCCCAGGGTCTGTAGCAGGGGCTGACTCTAGAGGTGGGGTGCCGCCAGACCCCAATCCAAGGGGGAACCCAGGAGGTCACTGACTTCCAAGTGATTGTCCAGTGCTTCGGTCCCCACTAATTGTGCCAAGGAGGACTTGCTTTTCCACCAAGTACGCCAGGGCATTTTTCCTCTAAGGCATTCAATCCTCCTAAACGGCCCAGGAAGCTCAGAGAGGGAGAGCCGGCTGCCGGGGTCGCACAGCCAGGGAGGGACAGAGCCGAGATTTGACCTCAGGCTTGTCTAACTCCGAAAGGCTCAGACTCAAATCCTAGCTTGTGCAGGGACAGGACCCGAGAGGGACAGTTTATCTGTTTAATGGAGAGGCAGGTGTAGTCAAATAACTCAGTAATGGGGGTTCATCCTAAGGACACCAGGGCAAACAAGGAAATAAGGCAACCGGGCTGCGTGGTGAGAATCCGAGCTGCAAAAAGGGCTTCATGCGAAAAAGGGGAGCTGGGGGTGAGCGGGGCTCACGGAGGCAGGACTGGAACCCAAGGACTCTTGGGAGCTGGGCCGCAGGCTCTGTGGGCATTCTCCTAGGGCCCCAGCATTGGCAAGCCTCAGCGAACCCATCACCCCCCAACTCCCCACTCCCTGGGGTCAGCTGCTCCTCTCTGCAGCCCTCAGTCTGGACGTCTTTCATCTGCACCGGATGGTAGCAGGTGCCGTGCGCGTCCCCAGAGCCCTTAGAACTCACAATTTTGGGGCGCCTGGGTGGCTCAGTCGGTTAAACATCCGACTTAGGCTCGGGTCATGATCTCGCGGTTCGAGAGTTCGAGCCCCGCATCGGGCTCTGTGCTGATGGCTCGGAGCCTGGAGCCTGCTTCGGATTCTGTGTCTCCCTCTCTCTCTGTCCCTCCCCCATTCATGCTCTCTCTCGCTCTCTCTCTCTCTCTCTCTCTTTTGAGAGAATAAAACATTAAAACAAATAAAACATTAAAAAACATTAAAATAAAAGAAAAGAACTCACAATGTTGGTGTGCCCAGGGCAGCTGGGATTCTGGGGGAATTCACGCCAACTAGGTGTTACGACCTGTGCAATGACTCATCCAGGGGTCAACACGAATCCGTGTACAGGTCCCCCAGCTCCCCGTCCTCAGGCGGGAACTTTGCCAAGCCGTCTTCCCCATTTTGTAAAGTCATGGGGCCCGTGGCAATATTGCCTGTGGATTGGGCATCATTGATCAATCACCTCTGGGCCAATCTGTGTGTGTGGCTGTATGACGTTCAAGATAATTCCTTGTAGGTTTGTGAACATGTCAAACGCACGTTCAGTCCAGTATTATCTTCCTACCCAAACTTGCCTTTTGAAATGTTTATGTATTTATTTTGTGAGACAGATAGAGAGCAAGTGGGGGAGGGGCAGGGAGACAGAGGGAGACAGAGAATCCCAAGCAGGCTCCCTGCTGTAATGCAGAGCCCGATGCGGGGCTCGACCTCACAAACCACAAGATCATGACCTGAGCCGAAATCAAGAGTCAGACACATAACCGACTGAGCCCCCCAGGCGCCCACCCCCCCCAAACTTGTCATTTGTAAGTAGCACAAACACTTCAAATTCCTTTTGCACATCATCTGGTATAGCTGTGTCCAAACCTTTCATGTTGAAATACATATTATTACACATTTCATTTATTATTCCTTTATAATATAGTTAGGGCATTGATTCAGAAAGCATGTATGTAGGTGGGTTAAGTTTCAGTTTTATTCCAAGAAAGTGAAGGGGCTGTCACAAAATGACTGTCATGGGAAGCGAGTGTTGGTTTTGCTAGAGTTGAGAGCCTTTCAACTTGATGA